CCCAAATGCAAGCAAACAGGTCGGACAGGCGCTGACTGAGGACTTCACCCCCGTCTTTGAACAGTGCAGGTGGAAGGTCATCCGGACCGGGAGCTCGGTGGCGCTTGAGAGAACATATGCAGTCGTAAACCTCCGAGGCCGTAGGTGGTTCCACGTTCACCGTCCAGGGTTCTACTTCACCTGTGGGCTGCAAATGAGTGCCGGCTGGTGGCCAAGACATTTGGTGTTCAAAGTATTCAGCCCAACGGTCGAGGCGTTATTCTTTGTTCCAGATGGTCACTTACAGATGTTTTCACTTACAGGTGGTTTCCGGGGACCGGTCGCACGGATCAACTAAAATAATCTCCGGGCATTACCGGCTTTCTGGGCCTCTTCCATTTCTTCGGCTTTCTGTGTCCACCATACTTCACGGTCGGATCGCAAGCTCACTCTTTCACTTGACGTCTGATAGCTGTTCGCACCGGGTTATGTTAGGAACCGGCTGGGATATTTCTTCGAGATTTAAGTAGTGCCACCGTTCGGTCTGATATCCAGTGTTTGAGTGAGCCTGGTTGGGTCGTGCCACAGGCAAAATTCCCAGCACTATGCAAATAGGTGGCATTCTCGTCCCAGTATGTGTTCACATCTGATGGTATAGCATTTGGAAGAGACTCTGTAAACCGAATATCGACGTCCTTTTTATCAAGGCTCAATGTCGAGTGAAGCTTATCGCAGGCTTGTGGCGCACATCAAAATGGTTATCATGGTCTACTTGTTCGGAATCGGTCTTTTATCAGATAATATGGCAGCCAAAAGCAGCGACATTAAGCACTATATACTCAGACTGAGCAGTCTATTGTGTGGTGTTCACTCTAAATGAGATTCAGTGGCAAATCACCCAGCGGCGCACCTAATCGTGGTATTTCATCGATTAGTGATGAAATATGCGCAAGCTAATTGCCAAGCTCTTTGAACAGATCGCCTGTCACTCGACCAGCAACCAAAAAATGACACTAACGAAAATCAATTTAAAGGGTAGGGAATTTCTATTAGAGACTCTCCCTAAGGTGGAACCATTGCAATACTAGTGGGGAGGGTGAAACTAACATAAACCTGTTCCGTCCAAATGAACGGAACAAAAAACAATCACTTGCCAAATTGACCCTCGTGATTTTAGATTGGATTATAAGATGTGCTTGATTCCGACTCGACGGATTCTGTAAAGTTTGTTTTGTCCGAACCACTAGTTCGCAGAGCAAACGACTGACGTTGTAACGATGCCCTCTCTCTGCTACCGGCAAATTATGGAATCCTAGCACATCAGAAGCAAAATGTATGTTTTTGGAGGTTCCACAAAAGTGCATTCAGAGTTAGCGCAACGGTCTTTACATACTCCAATAATAAGTCATCCGAATAACCAAAGTGAATGCAACAACAAAAACTCAAGGCTCATGTCGAAGCAGAAAAACTGATGGTAAGAGGCGCCCAGTACATACTGAACGATTCGATAAAGTCGGTCATCAACCCACCTGAAGCACGCCCTTTTCGACCAATTCCAAAGTCCCAGGCCTGGTTGTTAGTTTCGAATTTAATGCTGTTTTCAGTTGGTACTTTTCCAGATTATGGCATTGTTCTAATATATAGGGTGAGGTGCCTGGTTTGTCGTCTGCATACAGCATAGGAAAGGGAAGTTATGGCTGAATTAATTCCAGCAAGACAAACAAACCTCTAATAATCCGACGATTAATTAACTGTTGTCTGTCCGGTCTCTTCTCAATTTTGTGTTTCAGGAGGTCACTCGTCTGAAGGGTTAAAAAAGAGTATTTGTAAGGAAAGGAAATCGAGTGAATTGGTTAAGCTAAACTATGAAAGACGGTAACCGACCTTGGCTCGCTGCAACTGACGAACTTTGTCAGGATGTGATATAGATGCTGGAAAAGTATGTAGTCGGTGAAGGGAAGTAGGAAATTATTTACTTACGACTAAGCAAGATGCCTTGATTGACCAACTCCTTGATTGAACGTCTAGATCGAAGGCCTTTTTCGAGCGCTGAAGAAATTGCGCATTCCCAGTTAGTTAATTCAATGCATTCCGCTCACCTTCCTTATTTTGTAGCTTGTTTTGTTGCAAAGAGGTAACTTCGGTGGATGCCCGTGGACTTCCGGACTTTCGGAAACCAGATTCTGCACACATTGCTACACAAAGGATGATGAACTGGGTTAGGTGAACCAGGTCACGGACGGAAATTAAAAGTGAAAAGCAGGACTCAATTAGTAACTTGTCACATACAATTTACCTTCAGAGTATCTAGTCCCAAGTTAGAAAAACTCAGGATGAACAATTGTACTGGAGCATCGTGTCCAGAGAAAACCAGTGCCCATGAACAAAATCCAATTCACTGATCTGGCGGTGGACTGAAATTGGAGTGAAAATATCGCGAAGTAAGTTGCAACAAGATACGGAAAAATGTGGCATGAATGCCTTTATTTATAGGTAACAGCTATCTAGCTGCAGTATCAGTTCAGTGTACAGATGTCCCGAAACCCGAGGGCAGAGATTTTGGCTAGACAGGAATAATCGAAAGGCCAGAGGCGAAACCAAACAACGAACTTTCCATTCAGTAGCTTCGCAATCGAACCGCGAAGCTACCGTCAACTCAAACAGGACAGAAATTCTACCTGGTGAATTTCACCCTAAACGGTTCCGCCAATCGACACTAGATAATTAACTGTTGCCTACGACGACTAAACCCCGGCGAAAATCAGTTGGATTATCGTGAATTCTAATGTACTGATAATGGGCCAACCGGTGTAGGATAATACCAGTGAGAAACTTGGAAATTATGGCCACTAGACTGTCGCAATGTTTCTGCAACCTTTTTGAAAGTACGAATCACCGTTAAGAGGCTTTAATCCACCAGTGTTTTTCCCCACTGCAAATGCTTTGAAGTAAGACTGTCAGAACAGCCATGGTGAACTCTCCACTTCCTCTGAAGTGTGCAGGATGCTAACCACTTGAACCAAGTTCTTTGTTGCTCTGGAACAGTAAAATCGCACGTTGGACCACTGTCGATAATGGTGGACTGATATAGTGTTGTGTCCTCTTTGATGTTATACCAGTCAAACACGTTAGATCACCGGAAATGGAGAAAACAAACACCTTCGAGGAAGTCATACTGCAAACTAGTGGATCTTTCGGTGGTTTGGGATTCAACTGAACCAGAATATAAAGAGATAACAGTCCAACAGGATGTCAGTGAGAGGCTAAAATGTAGGAACAAGGTTTTAGTTTACAAGACAAATCGTTAGTTAAATGGATTTGTTCGTTTATAGGGAGTCCTCCTAACGTATAGAGTTTCCACTCAGTTTCAGTTGGTCCTTCCAAAGGTTGAGTTGGTGGATCGAATCTCGCAGTGGTTTTTATACTGCGTGTGGAGCGCATATGAAACTATTCACCAGTCTTATTCAGGTCATTTAAAATGGATTGCATTTTTGAAGAATAAGCCCTAGAAGTGCAATGACGTAGGCATACTCAATGTCCGTTAGCAAACTCGCTGTGAGAGGCTTTACCGTAAAGACGTAAACGTTCACTGCAAGGAGCGTAAAATACAAGAATTTACAAGGGATATCTTCCAGCACCAGGCACAGCTATGGACTCCATGGGGTCAAAAGGAGATCTGAGATGCAGAAAATGCAGCCGTTGTCGATCATCCGAAGAAAACGTGCAGCTTCAGTGCTTGCCACAAAGTAAAGATACGGCCGATACAACCCCAGCGAAACTCAGTTGAATTGTCGTGAATTCCAATAAACCGATGATGGGTCAACCTGTGTAGGATAATACCAGTGAGAAACTTGGAAATTACGGCCACTAGACTGATGTCCCCATGTTTCTGCACCTTTTTTGAAAATACGAATCACCGTCAAGGGGCTTCAATCCACCAGTGTTCTTTCCTCATTGCAAATGTTTTGGAGTAAAACTATTAGAACAACCACGGCGGACTCTCCATCTTCTCTGAAGTGTGCAGGAACTCAACCATCGGAACCAGCTGCTTTGTTGCGCTGAAGCAATAAAATCGCACGTTGGACTACTGTCGATGATGGTGGACTGGTATAGAGTTTCCACTCAGTTTCATTTGGTCCTTCGAAAAGTTGAGTTGGTGCAGGCCATCTGAAATTTACTTCAAATTGTTCAGCCCCCAGTTCAGAACAAAGTTTCTGCGAATGAGCTGGAAAACCATGCGTTTCGGAGATTGTCTCACTGAAATCAATCATTCTCCGACTAGTTGATCCGATCAGCTGCAATGGGATGTGACTGTTCCCCATGACAAAGACCTTCTCCAGTCCCTCGGTCCCTGTAATCCACCAGTACTCTCTGTTAACCGTAGACCCCTCATTATTAGCACATGCACCATCATTGCCGTCTGTTAATGGTATTGGTTCCCTGACTTCAATCAGAGATACTGGAGATACAGTGTACATTCGGGTGTGTAAGTGTCCTCGGGCAGATGGCTTTAGGGGCTGTGATCGTCGCCTTTTTCGCCGTTCTCCAGCTGTCATCCAAACCACCGTTACTAACATTGTGACCGTCGAACTCTGGAAGCATGATAGTGCCGATCCACACAGACAATTTCCAGGAGGAGTTCCAGGAGGGCTTTCAATAGGGTTTAAATCAACTAGCGTGTTCAAAGGGAGAAGCGAACAGATACGCACTCCTTTACAATTGCGTGGTCGAGCGGTGTATTCCAAAACTGACGATAAAGCTTGTATGAAGGCTGTCCACCGGTGGGCGATTGTCACACGGTCCAACCGGGTCCATGGCTGATTGGCAGTTGGCGGTCTCCAAGTCACAGGGTGTGAGTATTTGTGCTGGTTAGGAACAAATGCTATTCAACGTGTAGCTGAGGAATTCGCTACCCATCATTTTTGTGGTGAGCGTCAACTCCGAATCAAGCCTCCTTACATCACCTGCTAGAGACACGATATCCGCTACTCTTGCTGACCGAAGCAGCCATGTAACAATCTCTCTCACTCTCTACGTCAGAACTATCGTCCATTGGAGCGGAGCCGACGAAGCGAACAACATTTATCACACCAAGAATCATTATTCTCCATTGAGATAATCAATCTGACCGTGCAAAGGTTACTGCTATCCGCAGTCCGGTCCGCTTAATCGCTTTCAACCCTAAGGCTAAGCACAACTCCCACACAATAGATACCATGAGCCATTGCACTGGGATCATCAGACATCGTGGGCAGACAGACACTGTGAGCAATCTGGGGTCGCTCCGACTGGTTTGCGGTGCAGGATCAAACGTGTGCTTCGGAGACACAACATACATCAATCGAAGAAGAGAACGTGTTTTGAGTACGGGCTACTTGTTATCCAACATGACACGGAGCGTGGACGCTGAAAGCCACAGTCTGAAAGAGATCCCCTGAATTCACTAAGCATACATTTTGGCTTATTTCACTGAGTAGAAGCTCATATACGAAGCAACAGTGAGCCGATTGACAGCTAAATGACTCAGAAGCAATCAGATGGGCGACGGGTGGAGAGGATTCAGTAAGCGAAGAGTTGTAATGCGAATGATAATTTTCGGAAAATTGACGATAACGAACTTGTACTCACTCTCGCTATGTGAATAGATTGCATTTTGTCTGTACTATCTCACCTTCCATAATGTATATTGGACCGCGGATCTATGAACAACTGAGTTTTAATCACCCTTGCGGGTTGAACAAACGCTAAATTTACCAGCACCGATGATGAAGGCTCCTTCCGAATCGGCTACAACCAGATCACTCGACCAGAGATAACAAACCACCGAAATGAGTCTACGGGACTTTACTTTCCCAGTAAATCTATCGAATATACGGCAGCTCTTGTTCGATGGTTGTCTCTATAACTTGGTTCGCATTAAGGAGTTAGGCTTGGGATTTATTCGGTTTTGAAATTCTTCTCACTTACTTGTTCAAATCGAAGTGGGGAGCTCGCATTCCGTCTGAACCGTTTCATAAGGGTGTTCGCTGCGTTAGCTGATTAGTCAGGAAGGTGCGCATAGTGTCGGATTCGTGCTTTCCAGTGTACTCGTCAAAGGGAGCTTCGAAGTTTACCATGGTTATGACTAAGACCAATTTGCCTAGTAGAAAGTTCCCTTTTGCATATTCGTCTCGACGGTAGGTGCACATTCGAATTGTCACTGGTCTATTTTACCTCTAATTTTATACTTGAATGCGGCCCTGCCTACCAGGACGGTCCTCTCCAACAGCCTGTGCTCTTTGTGATGGGCTGCGGACTAAATTCCCGCTGCGTGGGACCGATTCTGTTCTTCCCGGAGTGGTCAACCGTTGCCCTTCGAGTCCACCAGATAACCAGTTTTTCATACACACCCTTGAACAGCTCTACTCCAACTACTACTTCACATATCTCTTTCTGGTAGGTGATTTTTACGCTCCAAAGGCCTCCTGGATGGAACTCCAGTGCATCGGATTTAGTGGGTGCTGTTTTTCTTGCTAAATATAATCTCTTTCTCCCTGCCAATATTGTTCGCATTATTGTGCAAACTTTTTTTTCGTGAAATTCACGAGCCCCTGTTTCTTAGACTCAGTGGGACTTTGTGCTGACCACTGGGACCACTGTGCGTTGACGGTCGATTTCATCTGCTACTGGGCCAGAAAGCCGGAACCTCAGAAGTGGATTCCGAACTTCTGCCGTTCGGACTTCCTTGAGCGAATTGAAGTCGGACCAACTTTAATGGAAGAGTTATACAGGACCATTGTCTTAAAAATTCATGAGGCTAATGCGATGTGCGTCCCGAAAAATCCAGCGCGTAGTCGGATGAACTAAAGGCTACCCAAAAGCATTCGGCGCCTTCCGGAAAAGAGGTCCCATCTATTTTTCCGACAGATAACCACAGGTGACACAGAAGACGAACTGGTATTTTGTAAGACGCGGAACCGCTGTAAATCAGAAATTCGCTAACGAAGCATACAAAAACAAGCCACGATACTGGACTTCGCGCGAAAAAAACTACTAAAGTGCATCAAAATCGTTCAGCTGTAGCATCCTAACTGCCACGCCATCCGAAGAAAGTATGAGAGCTGGGATACTGTCAAAATGCCCAAAACTAGACAGTCGAGAGGCAGAGGTCGAGTTCGAACCACGGATCTTCCAGTCATTTAATTGCATGAGACAGCCGGAGTAATAAGCCAACTGCTTTCACCTTGACGGACAGAAACGGGGAACCCTCAAGTCACCCAATACTTGTATCTTAAGCTAACAGAGAACACTATGCAGGCCTGCAATTTGCTCCAGCGACCCCGTCACATCCAACCTTGTCAAGACTAACTACGAACAGCCTCTAACCAACTTGGTCTTCACTGGAGAGGACATTCGTCAAGTCTTGCACACGACAAACCTTCAGCCTGTCTGTGCAAGACGAGGCCCACCCAAGGATCTTGAAGGAAATGTCACTCACGCTGTCCAAGCGTTTCTGCTTGGTGTTTCGTCAGTCGCTCGACAAAGGCAACCTTCCTATGCTTGAAAGGAAGTGACTGACATCCAAATCTGCTGGTGACCGAATATCGCCCGGCAGCCTTACTAGCGTACCGTTCAAGGTGATGGGACGTAAGCTGAAGCGGACCATCGTAAATCACCTCACCACCAACTTGATATTCGCAGCGCGGTATCAATTCCTCGCAAACTGCTCTCGCATGACGAAGATGCTCGTATCTACGGGCAGCTTAAACCAAACTGAAGACGAAGGACTCTTAACGAATGCCATATTTTTCGACTTCTCAAAAGCATCCGATTGAGTCCCAAACATGTCTTAATACTCTACAAGTTAGAGCCTTGCGGGATTCAAGGGAAAATTCTACGCTACATTAAGGCGTTCCTATCAGACATAACATTACGGGTGAAGGTAAGCTCGACCTACTATTCTTCGGTGCCGGTTTCCATTGGAGCCCCTCAAGTCTCCGTTTTGAGACCACTCCTGCTTCTTATCTACGTCACCTTCCAGACAATACTCTACAAGTTAGAGCCTTGCGGGATTCAAGGGAAAATTCTACGCTACATTAAGGCGTTCCTATCAGACATAACATTACGGGTGAAGGTAAGCTCGACCTACTATTCTTCGGTGCCGGTTTCCATTGGAGCCCCTCAAGTCTCCGTTTTGAGACCACTCCTGCTTCTTATCTACGTCAACGACCTTCCAGATGTTACTTCAAGTCCATGTTTACCTTTTGAGGATTTGAAATCCTGGGGTTCAAGTGTCGGTGCCCTCTAAATGGATGTAGACGAGGCAAAGCAGTGGTCTTTGGGCCTCATCTGAATGACGAAACGTGAATCCATGTTGTTCGGAGGAGACTTGGTGAACATTCTTGTCGTGCAAGGTGAGTGTGGGCCAGGAGACATTACAAGGATATATACTAAAAAGGATATAATTATCCGGCCCACTTCAAACACATCCCTATCGTTGCACGATAGAAAATCGGGTTCAAAAGGCATTCGCCTTTCTACGGATGATTCAGCGAGCCTTCTCCGTATAAATCGAGTGAACTTCCAGATACTCTATGGGGCCTACGTCAGACCGATTATTGCATACGCTGACCAAGTTGTGTGCGCAGGACGCCATAGAGATCTATTCCCAATTGAGCGTGTCCAACCAGCTGCTGCGAAAATGGTTGGGGGCTTAACAACGCGTTTCGCGAGCCTTGACCTATTTCCCTTGGAAAATTGTTGCCTCCGTGGGGACCCGATTCCTACTAATGCCCCGTTTGAACAAATACCGGGTAACAGGTTCTTCAAAGTTGACCCAACTAACACATCACGGGTAAATGGTAGGAAGATTTTCAAGCTCAGGGCGACACTTTATCAAGTAAGTTTTTCACATTTCCGGTAGTTGGCGCGTAGAACGAGCTTTCTCCGATGGTTGATCACGATGCATGTAGAACCCACTTAAAAGCTACACCATTAAGGTGAACAGAAACCACTGAACGGAGAAAGCCAATCCAGGAAGTTTGGGAGAGACCCTCCGTCCTTTCTATCAATCCGGGAATTCGTCAATCCGTGATCCAGTTCAGCTAATTCAGTTCGCGAACCCCACACCAAATCGCAATGCATTGCGCCAATACAGCTTCGTTCACCCAAATAAGGAAAATACAGAAATCGAAACCAAGCGTCGGAGGCAATGGTCTAATCCTTTTTACCTTGACGCCAAATACATTGCCTTGCCAACCATGGCAGGAAGTGAGAGATACGCATCGAGGACGATACATGTGAGGGAAGAACGTCACTGAACGCGTAACGCAGACAAGGTCAAGTGCAAGGTCACTAACCACTGGTTTGTCTCGTCCCGCGGGCCTATCTGGAGCAACGGTAAACACAAATCCGACTGAATTGATTAGTGAAAGCATTCATGCTTTGTTACTGGGACATGGACTAACCGCCTCTGGATCGTCTCCATGCGACATAAGACTGGGCGAGACAGCTCAGTGGTTAGAGCGTCAATCCACTGAAACGAAGGGTCCTCGTTCGAACACGGCTTCTGCCTCTCGACTTCCCCGACTAAGATTGGGCGACCTGGCAGTATCCTAACATTCGTGCATTATTTTAGTGGTAAGAGTTAGGAACCGACAGGGTGCTACAGCTGAAAGGCTTTTTTCAAGAGTGGACGAAGAGGGCTCTACGAGTCTGTAGTGTCTGTAATACATTGTTACATTTACCATTCTTCTTGAACTTAAACCACACTTTGTAACTATCGTACATATTGTATCATGACGTCTGTTTTAATGTTACGAATACACAATTTTCCGCTGCGATCTGCTGAATTCTTGCTGAACGAGTGTATTTACGCTCCGTTGAACTGTTTGTTGACTGC